TATGCATGAATTAGGTTGGGATGAGTGGGTATATGATTAGAGACCGTGAATTGCGGTAAAATCACGTAAGAGTATTTTTCAATTTGTAAAAAAAAAAAAAAAAAAAAAAAAAAAAAAAGTGAGAATATAATGATTGGTACTATAAGTTGCATGCCATATCAGTTTTTGGGAATTGGGTGACTAGAGAGCTTTGGACGTGAAATTATATCTTGTGCTGATACACAATCTTTCTATTTTCTTTTACGCAAAAACTGAATTCTTACTTGAGTTGCAAGAACTCATTGTGAAATTACTATAAGCAGACTCTAGGATTTTGATAATTGATATTTTGAAATTCGACCTTAAGTGATTTAATGAAGATTATTGTTGCATCTTATCAACGATACAACACTCTTGACTACTAATCCGTGTCTCCAAACCCTAAGAATAAAGAGATGGTTCTATTTACGCTATATTATTCCTTGGCTAAGAAATTATCAAGGTCGGCTATATGAAGGGTATGTATGTACAACCAGAGTATGATTAGAGACGTAAATGTTTGGCTTGCATGTCCAGTTGGTAGACAAGCTTAAGGATAAACAAATAATTTCCTATAAAAAAACCTCAGGAATTTGGATCTAAACCCAAAATGTTAAGTTTAATTGACATAGGATTATAGGAAAGAATATTATTGATATATAATAGGAATACCTACACTATAATTTGGTGATATTATGATTAGAAGAAAGAATATTGATATTGTCACACATTCTATTAGATTAGAAAATTTGAAGTTACATGATTAATTTTACGTGGGATGAGTTGATCACATCCTTGATGAAGACGACAAGACAACCACATGACAAATTAAATATAATTAATTGAGCTTAAACGAGATAGATTTTAGATTCTTGATTGGTACGTATGATTATTCTTCTTATTATAAATGTTAATGAATGATTGCCACAATATTATCCTTTGGATTCTAATCTCACTTAAGACGACGTATGTAATTAAGGGTTGACTTCGTGATTATAAAAATATTAGCTAGCTAGCTAGCAAGGGGAGAAGAATAAAAAGGAATGTTTGAGTATTTTCATGCATTCCTCTTCTTAAGCTAAGTCAAGACAACCAAACACTTTATTTACTTATACTTTCGTATATAATTATAATTCTTAGGTAAGAAATATATATTATATATACGGACAAAGTAATACGGAGTATAAAGCATAATTTTAATTATAACGTTGGTTTTCATAATAATCTTATTTGTATGAAAGTATCAAAACATGACATAATAAAAAACAAGAATCTATTCTCCTATAAGATTATGCATCTATTCATATATTAAACGTCAAAGAACTTCTGCCGTTTTTCATCTAAGATTTTTAATTATTTGATTTATTGTATTTAATAATTTCAGACAAAATTATAAAAGTTTAATATTTTTTTACTATAATTTCTAATTAATTTATTAAATATAAATAAATTGTAAATATAATATTTTTTCCGTTATATAAAATCTTTAATGTGAAATGATAAATTTTTAATAATTTAAATCCTAAATCATTATTCATTGTTTTACCGTATCTTTTATTTTGATAAAATCACCAACCTTGTTTGATATAAATTAAAATCCTATGTTTAAATAGAAATACTATTCATTGTTTCAAAAATATTGGTAAACATAGAAATACTAATTTAAACATAGGATTTTAAAAATTAAGCTAAAAATTACCCGGCCATTGATGACGAAAAATTAACACAAAATTACTAACACAAAATTCGCTTGATGGGGTTTTTTATTGATACGAAATTTTGTTTGTGTCGTATGATGTGTTTATTTATAATGGTAGGTATCACAAATTTTAATTTAATTATAATTAACGAATATTTTGTATTTCTTATCATAAATACTATCAAAATTTATCTTATAATGATAGGTATCAAACTTTATTATAAGCGTTTTTAAATATATCTTAGTATATATTTTTAGATTTCTTATACTTGTAGTATTGAATTAATAAATTTATCTTTTTCTATATTTTTACTTTATTTTTTTCATTAAAATAATTTAATTCGTGGATTATAATCATTAAAATTTTAGATATATCAAATCTAATTCGTTACCTTTATCTAGGTAGTGACATAATTTTTTAATTCAAAAATAAAATACGAATCTTTCTTCTTATTGATCGAAATAAATATATTTCTTACGTGGCGCTCCTAATGCTATATATATATATATATATATTAGATTTTGTATAAATTATAACGTAATTAATTGTATCACCACTAATCTTCTTTTAATCCTAAATACAGATTTGAAATTTCTTCCTGCAAGAGAAAAATGAGTACATGAAGACCAATTGTGTTATATTAATTCTCTGACTTTTATACGGGTTTGTAGTCGCTTCTCTATTTGATCAATTGATTGCTTGATATTCATTTTTTTGACGTGCTAAAAAGACAATGGACATTGATGAACCAATTAACTACTACTCCATATATATAATATGGAGTACTTGTATATTTTTTCAGACGAAATTTTATGTACGTAGTAATTCTTTAAAGATGAAGTATTTCCTAGTATAGAATATAGATAGTACTTAATCGCACCTTTTTTTTCCCGCTATGTATATTATTAGTATAAAGTTAGTTTTTTTTGGAGAATTAAAAGAAATAATTCTACTCTAGCAAGCTTTCTAGAGTTCAATTCGTTACTACATACACATATATGAATAATTCTTGCCGGCTAGCTTGAACAAGTCAATCCTATGTTAGTTGCATGTAAATTAATTAACACTGCAAAATAGTTTCAGACATGGAAGGTATAGCCGAATAGATGGTGTGCGATGATATGATCTCTAATCATCGCATTATGATTAAAGTAGTAGGTATAGTATAATAGTAATTACTAATAACCAATTGCTGATTAAAATTAAAAGTTTGGTAGTATTCTCTATTAATCATTACTAGGATTATTGTAGGAAAATTAAAGAATTTTGCATGAATATGAACATACGTTAGTAGTAGATAGTGTTCCCTGGACATACAATGTATTGGCTAATATATTGGTTTTGATTATGTGATGCACCTTATCATAAGTCTCGCATGATAATTGCTACAATTATTGTATTTTAAATTTGATACATAATAATGTATGTTATATTTCAAACAAAATATAGCATGAATTCTCCTATCTAGAAGATATTAGCAAAGAAGAATGGTTAGGAATATAAGTTTAATTAGTATTTCCACAAGTTAATTTGAAAAGAAAATTTGTGTTATGTCTCTTGAAAAGGAGTGATTTTTACATTTTTACTTTTGGGAATGAGACTTGTTTTAGTTCTTGTGTTTTAATGGTTTTATCATTATTCATTAGTATAGGTTTTTATAGATACTTCATATGTAGTTTAATTTCAAGGCTTTATTAAGTAAGTAGGAAACACAAGTATTGGGGTAGGAAAACATGTAGGATTACATATCTCAACTGTTAAGCTTCAGCTTTCAAATCCTAGGTTATGTGATGAGATTCGTTATATAAAAGAGTGACACGTGGTGAGTAGACTGACTTGAGCTAAAATTCTTTTTATTACCTCAAAATTTAGATTAAGTAATTGTCTTTTTTATACTTTATAAAATACTTGTAATATAGTATAAGATTGTACAATAACATATGAAATAAACAGCTCAATTAGCATTGTCTTTTATTTTTCTAAAATCATGTCATATGAACACACATTGATGGAGTTATTTTTTTAATTAGGATTTACTCACTTTCACTATTCATGTTTGCAATATTTTTATTTTCAGTTCTTTTGCCTTAGCTTGTCAATAATGACTGAATTTTTTCTCACTATGTGTTTCCACTTTCCAATATTTTAGCTTTTTCACTCTACATGTTGATTATGTGCATTGAAATCAATAAAAATCCTCACCAACTCCTCTCAATTTAAATTTGGTGAATTTTTATGGAAAATTTTGTAAAATTAATTGATAGGCACTTGATCGAGATGTTGCTTTCTAGTGAAATAGATGAGTGTAAGGTGAAGGACATAGACATATATATTGTAATCCCCTTGAAGAAGATATATGAGAAAATTACTTCATATATATATATATATATATATATATATATATATATATATATATATATATATATATATATATGAATCACATGATTTTATTTGTTTTAAGGTAGGAAGCAAATTAAGATGGTGGTAGGTAGTTCTCTAACCTATATCTCTCCATTTTCTACTCTTAAGTACAAGAAATGCTTAATTAATCAACATAAATGACTAAAAACACTAACACATTAAATAATTAATTACTGCCCAAAGCATGCATGAAAGCTTAGAAGCAATACAAACTCGAGGAGCGCACTTCCTAGATTAGATAAACAGTAACAGCAACGTAGCTTAATTAACTTAGCCCCCCCTAATAAAAACAAAAAGGAGATTGCAACCTAGAAATCTACTGACCACCAAAACTAAAGTAGTGGCACTATCGGACTCCTTAATTCTCTATCCTGTATTAGAACTCAATGAATATCAACTACCTTAATTAATTAAAGTATAAGGAGCTAATAACCAACATTTAAGATCAAATTTTATCTATGTCTTTTTTTATTCTTTGTGGGTTGCTCTACACCGAAAAAAAACAACACACATATCGACAAATACTTCGTATGTAATTAGTTCCAAAGATTTATACTCCGTATATCCGGTGGTACTAATTAGCTCTTGATTTTCCCTCTATAATGATTTTGGTTTAGTAATAGAGCAAAAACGTGCACTTATTCTTTATGTAGTAGTGTTTGATCGATGTTTCTAACACCATTTGCATAGACAACACCCACAAAGCCACAAACATGCCTCTATATGTATGAAGATGATTTAGTACTAATTGACTAATGATGAACTAAGTAATGAAAGTATGTGAAGTAGGTTTAATTAATCATTATCATTGTAATAGTACGTAGTAGAGGAAATTAAAGAGAGATGATTGAATTGAAATACCTCTGATTCGCTATCCAATCCAAGCTTGTTAGCCACATACTTCATCACTAATCGAACAGTCATCCTCTCATCCCTAATCAAACAAACAATTAATTAACTTCAATAGAACCTTAATTCATCATTATTTGTTTTTACAACCAAGAGAAAAAGTAAAAAAAAAAAAAAAGAAAATTACTTGATTCGGAGAAAACTCTTGGATACTTGAGGTAAAAACGGTTCTTTTGATCTGGGTTCGAAACAAATTGAACAACCAAATATACCCATTAGTTTACATGGAAGCATATTATTACAAAAGTAAAAAAAAATATGAAAAAAAAAATAGAGGTAGCTAAGAAAGCTTACTGATGGCGAGAAGCTTGAAGAGCAAACCAAATGCCAGTATGAGGTCTCCTAGGAGGAGGATGTACAACTCTGAATTCGGAATCTACGGCATCTACGGATGACCCGGAAGGTGTAAAGGGGCGGGTTAAAAACGAAGCTGAACCCGAACCCGCACCAACTTGTGCAGGTGGCATGGAGGAAGATGAAGATGGAGATAAAGATGAAGAACACCCCGCGGCTGCTGACAAAGGCGCTCTCTGATTAGCAAAACCCCAACCTATCTGATGTTGTTGTTGTTGATGATCGCTTAGTATTAAATGGTGAGGATGATGAGATTGGAGTAGTTGTTGAGGTTGCGGAAAAGAGGCTATTAGAGGAATCATGGGATGATGTTGTTGTTGATGAGAGATGCAAGTAGTTGGTGATCCAATAACACCTCCACTAGTAAACAAATTATTACTGGTTGTAATAAAATGATGATCAACTGATCTTTGAGGGATTATTCTAGGCTCTAACCCCGGCATCATTAATGGTGTTCCGCCACTGCTTCCACCTCCTAGGTTGAGCTCAAGCATCAATCCACCCGCGCTTCCTCCTATCTGTAGCGACGATGACATCTGAGCTTGAGCTTGATGTTGTTGTGGAAGCGGAGGAGTATCCACGTGGGTCCTACCAAGACCTAACTGCAGCCAGCTGCTGCTGCTGTCGACGATACCCCTTTGATGATGATGATGTGGAGGTGGGGGAGGTGTAGGGGTATCGTCCCGCCCCTTCATAGAGGTAGAAGAAGCGGCGGCAGCAGCAGCAGCTGCCTGCTGATGATCACCATTATCGTTAACACTAGTACTGTTAGAAGTTCTAGACTGCTCTTCCTCAGCCATACGAAAAATATTATGGTAGGAGTCGTAATTGGTATTATTATTAGGATAACCAATCCCTAAAACACAGTGATCGTTATCAATATCTAGCTTGTTATTAGCAGTAATGTCGGTATTACTAGTAACAGTATTAGTACAACTGTTGCCGTTGATGACGTTATTATCGTAACCAACATAGCCAGCAGGAGCACTGCAGCCATCGGCGAATCGAGTCATGACATCGGAGGCAGCACCAACACCAGCACCACCACAGCCACCATAAAAAACAAGATGTGGTTTGGATAGTTTAGGAGCAGGAACCATAGTCATATCTTATAACAAGAAAATAACATTAATATTAATATTAATAGCAATAATAATAATAATAATAATAATAATAATAATCCAACCACAGTACCAAAAGCTGGTTAAATTTCTTGAAAAATCACTAGTTGATGATATTCTGCTGCTTTTGTTGTTTTTCCATCAGCACGCCGACTAATTCGAATTACAGAACACAAACTAATAACGAATTAGTAGATGTACTTGTACCCATTTATTTCTAATATCTTGGAGTCGTAATTAATAAAAGGCTTTCTTTAAGGGCTGGTTTTATTATTTAGATACAGAATATCTAATTTTTATTTGAAGAGAGAGAAGAGTGCAAAGAGGGAAAACAAGCTAAGAAGATAGGTCCTCAAAAATCTGGGTTAATTCTTTTACTTTGGAAGTTTGTGAGTTGTGATTTGGAGGTTTTTATGAGAAAGAGAGGACGTGAGATAGATCCATATTGGCGACCACTTCTATTTTTATTATTTTTTTTTTATTATTATTTTATAATTTAATATAATAGAATACCTAAATAAAATTGTCACTTTTTTCTTTTTTTGGAGGGTTAAGGATTGTTTATAAATAAATAAAAAAAATATTAGGGGTAAGAATAGTAATCAGTGTAGGGGAAAAGAATAGTATGGAGTGCTTTGATTCCTTTATTTGACTTTATAAAGACCAAGTATTTATTCGAAAAGAGGATGGATTTTTATTAGGGATGTCGTTCAAGAGGTCAATATATGTACTCTAAAGTTCATTTCTTTTTAGGATATCTCTTAAAAGTCCCTTTTCTTCCTTTCATTCATATTTTTTTAAAGCATATTTTATAGAAAAATCATTAAAATACATATAAAAAGATAGATGAACGAATAATTATTATTTAACATATTACGATGAGTGTAAAATTAAAGTGTTATAACTGTAATAATTATTAAACTTGGTACTTCGTTTAAACTTTTGAAAAATAATATGGAGAAAGGTTTTCTCTCTCTGCTTTCATATTACATTCCTTTCATTTTGATTTTCCTATTTACATTATCCTTTTTTATGTTAGGTATAGGACCATTATTGTCTTTGATCACATCTATTTTTTTTTTTAAAATACTCACAATATTCACATGTATTCTCCTCTCTTTTAAAATTTATAATTATATGAATTCATTATTTCCAATCCCATATACTACATTTTCATTAGTAGAAAATCACTCATTACCTCTAATCACATCTCATTTTCATCCATACTTTATATAAAGGCCCATCAAAACACTTTCCTAAAACATTTGGCAAACTTCAAGTGTATATTGTGAGTATATACTTGTATGATAGAATCTCATCAAGCAATTCAAGTATTATATCACTTTCAAATCAATGTTATTATGTACTTCATGTTAGATATATTTTGTACATAAATTATTATTATTTTTTTAAAAAAAAAAAAATAAAGAATTTATGTGAATGGTTGTACTTTTTTTTTTTTTTGTGTAGGAATAAATTTGCATGGCCATTTCACCACACAAAAATGCATTAACTAATCACTGCATCAAAAATCGAAGTATATAAATAGTATAAAAGACAAACTGTATCGGACATAATCCATCATTAGCAACATATCTCATGTAGAGACACAAGCCATTAATTAGTCTTATCAAACTAAAACAAGTGAAATCTGAAGAGTTCCATTATGGAAGAAACTGCTATAATTATAAGGCCAAGGAAGTAGCCAAAAAGAAAAGAGAATAAAGGAAGGTTTATCACGTAACTTAGACGCGCGGCAACCAGTAAGATGTAGACTTAGCGAGTAATCTGGGCCAATCAAATTCAAATCATCACAATAATGTCTTGATTGTTTTACTGCATGGACTTTTCATATCCAATTTGATCAGAGAGAATAATGCATTCATCATACTTATTATTCCTAGCTACTATATATATATATATATACACTATAAAGCTTAGATTTTACTCCCTTGATTTTATTTTTTTCAATCAACACATTTAGTTTTTATTATTTACTTCACTACATCATATATACATAAGTGAGTACGACGGATTGAATATTGAATATTGCCTTAGAAAAATCATCTTAAAACAGAATGGAAGTAACAAATAATTATATGTGTCGTCCAAACATGCAAAGTATATAGAAATGGAAAAGGAGTGCCTGGCCAGGCCAGGCCATACTCTAAACTCATACAATGGTCGATGGAGTATAAGGTAGTGGACCTAGCAAAGTAGCGATGCATTGAAGAAATGATGGTGCTAGCTGTGCATGTCTTGTAGTACTAGACTACTAGAAAGTACAGCAGTACTAGTAGTAAACTGGTGATAAAGCTAGCATGATACACATAAATTACTAATTAAGCTGAATCAATTTTGTTTTAATAAACAAAATTTTGTTTTAATACTAGCTAGCTATGGATATATTTATACTTTTAAATTATTTAGAAGTTCGGAAATTTCTATTTTTTACAACTTCAAACATTATAAATTATTGTACGGCAAATTTTAAATTTTTGATTTTTTACCAACCCGAAAGAGTTGTATAACGTTTTTAATGACTTTGTTTTACTCACCTTATTATCCCTTGTTATAATAAATTAAGTTCAAATAAGGATTAATAAACTCAAGTTTTGATATGGGTTAATTATCTAATAAGTTTAATTTACAGTTACAACAAGTTTTAATAAGCTCCAATAAAATTCATGTGATTAAACACACATGTAAGAAAGACACGGAAGATAAAGGAAATAGGGACAAGTATTTATATTAAAAAAAAAATAGAAAAAGAGAAGAGGTTGGTATAGGCATGATGGTGTTTGCCATGATAATACTTTGATTCACACTGAGCCAATGCTGAAATTTAGAAACAGAAATGAATCAAATGAGCCAATTAACCATAAATAAACGTGGTTTCCTGTTAATTCATCCTTGCATTGTTGTTGGTATTTAAGAAAAGATCATGTGCTTCCCACCCTCCATGCAATATATGTTGTCCAACTCTAATACATATAGTTATAATTATAATTACGATTTAATAATTAAATAATTAGGATGGCAGAGACGTGATAGTTTTCTAAATGCAAAATATACTGATCTACAGATAGATGACCAAAACATTGCTGTTCAATTGGTTTGGTTGGTTCCACTATTTTATTTTATTTTAATAAAATTAATTATCTGGAAAAGCTGATGACATCCTTTCCAGCCCATCATCTCTATTCTCAATCTATCTTTCATTCTCTCTCTTTTTGTTTGAATAATATGAGTATATTTCATTCATCAGACACAAACACAAACACACTCACCTTCTTATTGCAATTGTTGCAGGGCTTATTATTATTACTTTTGTGGAGATGTCAATCAACCAATCTTCTCACTCTGATTTTGTAACCCCGCATAACATTCAACTACTTTTGCTATATTTTTAGACGTTTTTTCTTCTCCTCTATATATAAGTATTCAATTTTACTTAATCCATCTCATGAGAACAAACTTATTAATGTTCTTTTAGTGGCCTTAGAGGTATAATTTGGGGTTGGGCCGGGTTTGATGAGGTTAGATTGGTTCATGCTCAATTATTGTGTTCTTATGAGTCGAAATCTTAATCGAGTCTTTTTTTGGTCATATTGGATTGGATCGGTTTTGACCCTCTAAGCGGCCTGGATGTTGAACAATATTATGAAAAATTTGTTCTGATGAATGATAAAAGAGATTAATTAAAGAAATTAATGAACAAGAACAACGAAATCAATAAACAAGAACAAAGATTTTACATGATTCACTAATAAGAAGTTATTTACTAATAAGAAGTTATTTACGTCTACGAACTTGCATAAAGGAGAGTTCTATTTATCCTTAGGATTATTGTACGTACATATTACAGAATAGCTAGTGAATTGGTTAATCCTAAGGGTGTTTATATTGGTTGCAAAGTAACTTTTCAATTGACAACACAACCACCATGAGTGAAAACATAACCAGTCATATTGCACCCTCTAAGTCCCCCAAATTTGGGTGCATGCCTCTGGCCCTAACTCACTAACCGGGCAGCGACCTTGGTGATATTTGTTTAAATGGGCTAACTGATTCAAGACATACTATAACAAACTTCATAAAAAATAAGGTGGTCTAATCTATTTTTGTCTGGTCAATAATGCTCTTTTGATTTGATAGAATTTCGATCGTACCTATTAATGTATATGAAAAACATTATCAAGTGAAATATTGTTATATTCTGTTAATGTGTTTTTTTCCAAATATATATGTTCTAAATATTAATAATTTTGACAAAAGGGCAAAAATAAGAAAGTTAAATCTTGTCTGATCCATCTTCTTAACTTTGATTTCATTAAAAAAAAAATTTATAAACTTTTTAAATAAGGTGAACAAAAAACAGACTTAATAAAGTACTCGTAGGAAACATGGGTACATCCTTCTAGGCTACCCAAAAAATAGTTGGATGAAAACATAAATTTTGGTTATGAAAGGAGTAACCCGTTAAGCTTAAGGCCATGTTTGGTGAATGGCTTTTTGATTAGTTTTTGGCTTTTTTATGTGGTCAATACAGCCAAAAAAAGTGTTTGATAATTGGCTTTTCATTAAGCGAAAAAGCTGGCTTTTAAGCCAAAATGAAAAAGCTGCTATGAGTAGCTTTTTTGTTAGCTTTTGGCTTGTTAGCCCACAAATTATCTAATAAACAGCCAACATCCACCAACCAAATTTAACACTTTTATAAACAGCTAGCTTAAACAGCCAATTTCAAAAGTCATTATAAACAGCTAAGCATTCCAGCTGGTCAAACAAGTCAAGTGAACCAGCCAACCGCCAACAACCAACAACCATTTGCCAAATAAGGCCTAAAACTAACCCATTGCATTTTAATTGTGAAAAACTCTAGGAGATCGAAAAGGAAATTAATTGAAACCTAATTAAACAGGATATGTTGAGTACAGAGTAATAAAATAATAAGAGTAAAACACTATTCTTTTGAACTTCTGAGCAGGACAGAGTAAAACAGGTTTCAACAAAGTAGAACAGGTGTCAGCAGAGCAGAGCAGACCACGGCAATTCAAAAGAATAAGGTCTGAATGACATTCTATTATAATTACGAAAGTTAAAAATGTATTATCAAAATCATTAGGGACAATTATTCGCCTTTGAAGAGCAGTTGTCAGAATAATAATGTACTCTATATCTTATCTTATTATGTAAATATAATCAGACAACATGAATATATACTATTTTCATTTTTATGTATCCAACGCATGCCCATGTACGAGTACCAGTTTACTAGTCCTATAGATCGATCGAATATTTATATACTATCGTTATAAATTTATAATATAATGTACTTCAAATGAATTGAATGACGTCCTTATTTTTGTCCCTCCACTAACATTATTTTCTGACTTTATTTCTTTTCAATATAAATAAATAATTAAGCCTGATATATATTATGTACATACTATTGTATATATACATCAATATACTTCGTATGTGATATATAGACCTAGTCTTATTGAGTGCGACTAATTTCAAGTTATCCAGCAGTTTATACATTTATGACTAATCCAAAATTTATGTGCAAGTAGCATGCATGAACTGGTGTAGAAGACCTAGGTTGAGCCAAAATATTTTCCTATGCTATTTATTTATGTAGGGGTTGAAATGCTTCTAAACAATGACAAAGAAAGAAAAGTTCAAGGATATATAATGCATGCTTAATGTCAAATCTCTCATACAATACAATACAATTATTTAATTTAAAATAAGATACAGATCAAATAATAGTGTACTATAAAACTAAGTTACAATATTCATAATTATAATTTTTATAATTAATATATATGTATTATTCTTTATCCCTAGAGATCGATCCAAGATATACTATACAGCTGGTAATAAATTTTATGAGTAAAAAAAAAAAAAAAAAATTAAAAGAGAAGAAAAAGGTTAATTTTTTTCATTGTTTTTTAAGAGAAGGAAAAAGGTTAATTGTTTGTCATTATTATCAATGTACCATTAAAGCATATGATCTTTCTATATGGTTACAGTTATTACTGATACCCATATTAGGAGACTCAAAGGTAGGGTGTGGCCTTTGTGGGTAGTGGATGTAATAACGAACTAATAAGTAGGGTATTGTATGAGAAGATAGATAGCTTGGGTAGGAAAGTGGGATGGAGTAGTAAATAAACGTGATATTTGTGTAAGAAATAGTAGAAAAAGGGTGTTAATTAGTAAGAAGGTCAGAAATAAATTGTTGCATTTTGGGTATAGTAAGGTGAAATTTCTATTTTCTCCGAATTGAAATAAAAACAAAATAAAAGTGTAACATTATACTTCTAAAAAGCTAATTAGGATATAAAAGAAGATGCAAGTCATACAACTATTTTTTTTTTTTGAAGACATACAACCATTAAGGTAATAAAGAGAAGTTTAGTTCGAGTTTTATTTATTTATTTATTTATTTTTAAATGTGTAAATGAGTCACACGAGCATTGCAAATTAGTCTTTGTCACGGCCACTATGCCAAGACCATATCAGTATATCTTGTTTAATACTTGATACTTATCATAATTTTATAAGCATATTAGAAGTATGTCTTAGACTGTTTGGTAGCTAAAAAAATCAATTATTTTGGCCGTCAATCTGCTCAAAAGACCCTCATAACTGATTTGATCATTTCGGTAATTGACTTGTTGCTGCACATAATAATAGGTGATTTGCTCTTTGTACTTTTAATCAGTAGTTATATTTTTCAATACGTTAATAAAATAGATTAGCCAACAAAAAAAATTAAAATTTTCAAGGAAGAAAATACCAAGTCATCAAAAGATTCCAACGAGCAATTCCTGAGAAGATTCCGCGCAAATATTCTTCCAATCCGATGAAAGCAACTAATAAATTTATAAATTACGAGTAGATTATTGTCAAATATAATGCATAACAAAAGAAGAAAAAATTAAAGTCAACCAATTTTGTTTTAAAGGCCGGCTTATGTAATGTCAAATCTCATATAATTATGTAATAAAATCTTGTATTAGATACGTTGGTTACATAGCAGGCTGCATGGAAGCATACAAGTATATAAAATTGCCTTGTAAATTCAAATTCAATCAGAAATTGGAGAAATTATAAGAAACTATATTATGCATGACAAGCATGTAGTTTAAGTTGATTTGCCCAGATAATTGTGTAGTTGACATGTACACTTTGTTTAGGGTTTTTTTTTTCTTTTTTTTTTTTTTTTTTTTATAGATTTGAGACAAGTGAAAGAATTAAAATATTATTCGAACAAAATATGTACTTATCAAAGTTATAAGTTTATTACCGCCATTTCAACTAGAATTCATTCTATCTTCCATTGGCTTAAAAGAATTATTCACTTCTACCAAATACGGGGTAAAAACATTTCAAGTCCTATTTTAAAGATATTACTACGTATCTTGTATTAGCATAGTTTATCATATTGCATATATATTTATAGAACCAAATTAGCAATTAGATTAAAGCTAAGGATTGACATCAGTCAAATATTAGAAATATGCATTACAACATGAAGGAGTACATTTTTTTAGACTAAATACGGAATACTAGGTTTCATTGATGGTTGAACTAACCAAATTAGCTTGGGTTGCATAGGTAGCATTCTAACATGATTTGGTACCTAAGCTAATTTGGTTAGAATGCTATCTATATGCAACCCAATTAGTTAATTGGATTGTGTTACATAGGTTGAATAGTAGGCGATTACTGAACTATTTAAGTTTTTTTAAATAATAATAATAATAATAATAATAATAATAATAATAATCTTCATTGCATGGGCATTTGGCTTTTTTGGGAGTGTTTCAAGACTCATATTCTTCGTACGAAGTGTCGACATGATCCTGATTCGGATGATTTTGTGGCCCCACCTGATTTTGGGGATGGTGTTGTTCAGTTTGTTCTTTATGGTTTTCTAAAACCGCAGGGTCCTGCTTCTGAGGTATCTGATCTTGTTCCTAGGGTACCTCGTGAGCCTCAGTTTACTTTTGATGTTGCTCTTCTTGATAGTTTGCTATCTAAGTGGTTTCGTTCGGTGAAATCTATCCCTCCTAAGTGTCTGTAGGCGTCGTTCGAACCGCGCCTACATTAAGCATGTTGTGAATATGTTTGGCACTCATAGGATGTAGAAATTGACATACACGATTAGGGACAAAGCAAAGTAGGGAGCCGCCAACAAGTTTTTAAGGAACTTGTAAACCGTTCACGGATCATAAAAGGCAACCACGATTAAGGGACAATGAAAGGCAACAACGATTGACCCGTGATCATAAAAGGCAACCACGATTAAGGGACAACGAAAGGCAACAACGATTGACCGGTGAAGGTTACATCCCATTCATAATCCATGAGATTACTAACTCCATATGGTTTGGAACCACAAAAGGAGGATCGGGGATGATGGTACGAAGTGAGTCATGGAGTCACATTCGCCCGTATTGGCCTCTACTCGATTCTTATTGTGAAAAGTGATTCCTGCGATCTCAAAGGCATGCAAACAAAGATTCAATTTGCTCCAAATTAATATTAGGCTAAATTGGTTTAATATTAATGTAACATATAATTCTAAAATATCGTAATCACTTAATTAAAAAATAAGATTAAAAGGAACCTAAACCGGTCGTCCAAATTATCTTATTAGTCGTGATATTCAATTACATATTCCCTTTAAACATGCAATATGGTGATCAACAATAAACAATAGAATAAACATCAACATTGGAAGCAATTTAACAATAATAATGTTAGTCAAATCAAATTACAATAAACCTAATCATGATACTATCAATATAAAATAAAATAAGTAATTAAATTAGTTAATTACTCACATTTTGCGCGTTCCTTTAAATTGATACATCAAGAATAAATTGTTAGTAACTTCAATAAAAATAAATCAAATTGAAACAATTAAATTAAATTGAAAGTAGAGTGGATTTGGTCCAAACGCTCAGTCGGTTCTACCTTTAATTCACGCCTTGGTTTAAGTATGGAACTTCGTGTAAAGTATGGACTCCTTGGGGTGCTTAGAAAATGAATGATGAAATTAGGAAAATAGGTTTAAGTCTAAGAATATGAAAGAGAGAGAGAGAGAGAGAGAGAGAGAGAGAGAGAGAGAGAGAGAGAGAGAGAGAGAGAGAGAGAGAGAGAGAGAATGATTTTTTGGTGTATAAGAGAGGAAGAGAGAATGATTTTTGGTGTAGGGAAAAAGAAAATGTGGTGCCTAAGAGAAATTTATTTGATGGCCCGAAACTGAGGAAATCAGCCTTGTATTTATACAGGAAATGAGCAGGAACTACAAGAAAACAGCTGGATTCCGACGGAATTTTTCCATCGGAAACATCGAAAAATCTGTCGGAAAACGGCCTTCCGACGGAATTCCGACGAAATCAGTCTGTCGCAATACCTTTCATAGGAAATTCGACGTTTTGACTTTAAACGAGAGTCCGTCGGAATCCATTCTGTTGGAGCTGGTTTTGACTTTAAACTAGTGTCCGTCGCAATTTTCCGACGAAAATGTTTCCGTCGCAAAAGGACATGTCCCGACGGAATTATTCGTCGGAAGAGGGAAGATTTCGACGAATAATTCCGTCGGAAGAGGAGAAGATTTCGACGAATAATTCCGTCGGAAGAGGAGAATATTCCGATGAATAATTCCGTCGGAAAGTAAGAGCTTTCGACGGATTTTTCCGTCGGAATTAGTCCTATTTATTTAGCAAATTAAACGATTTAATTTGGATTTACCACTATTCGTTACCTATATCTCCTGCACCTAATTTAAGATAAATTTGAATTTATGATTTAATTACGAAAATATTTTTATATATTTATTTAAAATAATGTATACATTGTGTGCAACTATACAACATAATCTAAATCTAAATACATGTACATACTGTATACACAAATTCTAAGCTACATCCGGAGTACCTTGCCCTGCACCGCCACTACCCGGGTCGTTCGTGGGGTCTCGATGCTGATGTGGAATGTTGGAACATGGGTTGTTGTTAAAGAATTGACGCATCATCTCTTCATACCTCTCTTGGTTTCTCCTTTCTATTTCGGCCAATCGAGCCTTCATCTCGACTTCCATTTCACTCCGCATAGCTTGCACCCTCTGCTCCACCCTCTGTTCCACCTGATCCTGCATTTGGGAAAGAATGGAAGACGTGTACTGCTGGGAAGACTTGGAATCTGAACCCTTCCTGTTGCCATAATATAGCTCTACACCTTGGCCAAGTCCCTTCACACGACCCTTCTTGTTGCGACCACCTACAGTTTCCCAATACAACTCATTTGGACTCTTTCGAATCTCTTGGGTGCTTGCTTCTTCAACTTTCTTCTGGTAGGCCTCCTAAAAGATACACATATGAAAAGGTGCACAGAGATGTAAGTTAAAATAAGCTTTCTAAACAAAATAGAACCAAGTAAGACCTATTCTTTGCCCATTATCTACATTCTTACCAAATGAACCATTTGTTTCTTATAACATGTCTATTATAGTTAGTTTTAGGTGTACAGGTCTTGAAATCACAAAAAAAAAAAAAAAAAAAAGAAAGAAAACCCAACTCCCTAAGTTTTGGGAACGATTTGGACCAAATTCAACCAAGTGCGACATATATGACCTATTCTTTGCCTATTTTCTACATTTCTTACCAAATGAACCATTTCTTTCTCATAACACATCTATTATAGGTAGTTTTAAGTGTACATGCCTTGAAATCACAAAAAAAAACCAACTCCCTAAGTTTTGGGAACGATTTGGACCAAAATAGAACCAAGTGAGGCCTATATGACCTATTCTTTGCCTATTTTCTACATTTCTTACCAAATGAACCATTTCTTTCTCATAACATGTCTATTATAGGTAGTTTTAGGTGTACATGCCTTGAAATCACAAAAAAAAAAAAAAAAAAAAAAAAAAAAAAAAAAAAAACCAACTCCCTAAGTTTTGGGAACGATTTGGACCAAAATAGAAGCAACTGAGGCCTATATGACCTATTCATTGCCTATTTTCTACATTTCTTACCAAATGAACCATTTCATTCTCATAAAATGTCTATTATAGGTAGTTTTAAATGTACATGCCTTGAAATCACAAAAAAAACCAACTCCCTAAGTTTTGGGAACGATTTGGACCAAATTCAACCAAGTAAGGCATTTATGACCTATTTTTGCCTATTTTCTACATTTCTTACCAAATGAACCATTTCTTTCTCATAACATGTCGATTATAGGTAGTTTTAGGTGTACATGCCTTGAAATCACAAAAAAAAAACCAACTCCCTAAGTATTGGGAACGATTTGGAAAGTAATTCATGAAATCAATCAAATAAGTTCAAATCCTAAGTGTTATTGAAGTTATTACCGCAATATGCTGTGCTTTGGTGTTGGTTGGTACTGTGCCTTTCCCAAACACTTCCTTGAAGTGCGTCTTCAGAAAAAGCTCATGAGCTGTTGGGAGCTGGCCTTTATTCTTTGTCGCCTTTGATTATACATGCAGAAAATGATAAACTTTAAATGTTAGAGCACCTTTACATAGTAATACACAATTCTCTTCTATTTTACCTGCCTATTAAACAATCTTACCATCCGTTTAGCATGTTGTACAGCTGACATCGAACCCTGGTAGTGGGTAGCTTCAATCGCATTTTCCATTGAGTCGCCCCTCCTATTCTTCTTGTTTTGGGCCGACCTCTTCTTGTAAGTTAGATCAGTGGAAACAATATCCATCATTTACTTGTGGACATCCTCATTGAGCCAGCCTGGCTTGGCGCCTCTCATCTTGTGCGTGACTGTGTAGAACACGTCACGTAGCCAAGTAGCAAATTTCTTTTCAAAAGTGTGCTTCACATCCTCGGTCAAATGAGGTGCCCATGTGAATTCTTTCTGCAAATGATAAACTTTATAAGTCATATACTCAACTTCATCTCATACTTTTCATAAAACATGTATTAATTAAGTTTAAAATAGCTTACGCTGAATAAGTTCCGCCAGTGTTGTTTCGTTGCTTCATCCACCTCTCCGTAATTCCTCCAAGGCTCTCGATAGTACCCGGTTAGCGTCCCGGAGGCCGCATTCCTCACCTTGTTGTCGTCAAACCTACATTTAAAGACGAAACCACAAAGTTAGATGATCATCAACAAAAAGTACTATAAAACTTGTTACAGATAATAAATAGGTTAATTTCTCAAAATTAAGAATATAAAACCAATTCATTGAATGTATGTACGTACCAGAGCACAGCAGGGTCTAATACCGGCAACTATGAATGCTCCGGTGTCTGATCTTGTGATGAGCTAGAAGTGGGCTCCTGAGTAGCTCTCAAATCATGTGCATCCGCATCCGCGATGTCCTCATCGGAGGAGTCGATCTCCATTGTCCGTTTACCTTTATCTTTACCGCCCGCCATGATCACCTGAAATAGTTGTTAATAAATAATAACATGACAACATATTATAAGTTACAAGTGTAGTACAATGTAATAAAATTTCAGCGTAAAAGTAATGATTTATTATAAGACCAAGTCAATTGTCTATTTTACAATAACAAGCAAATTTAAAGAAGGAGAGTAACATATTCTCCTATTCATTAATGTCATCACTACTATCACTACTGAAATCATCACTACTATCATCTAATAATACATCGATATCATCATCCTCGTCACTATCACTAGAGTTGATGCTAGATTCATCATCTTCATCGCTTGAGATAACAAAGCCATCGTCATCATCATCATCATCATCTCGGACATAGTCTGAATATCATTCGGTGGGCAAAGTGTTGCATGTACTTGTGGGGATGGTGCCTGCAAAAACTCTAAGTCCACCGGAGCATCAACCACCGATCTTGCCTGTGTTTTAAAAACAGCCCACCATTGTACTCGATCCCGTTTCAGGCTAGGGTATAATGCGTAGTACACTTGAGTCACTTGATAAGATAAAACAAAGGGATCGTACTTGGGGTATTTCTTAGTATGATTCACTTCGACAAACTTGTACTGTTCATGTATGTTCATTCCCCTACCACAATCCATCCAACTACACTTAAACAAAATAGTCTTGTACTCTTTTTCGGGACCAGTGTAGACCAGTTCAATAATGTCGTCTAAAATGCCGAAGTACTCTCCACCATAATTCATCGTAGATTTGTGCTTCCATGTTTGAACACGCTTGAAAGGGCGCATGCACAATGCTCGCAGCACATCCGAATTTGGTTCCTCCTCAACAACCTATCAACGTTTTGAATATAACCGTCACACTTCCCTAATTGAGTAAATTGAATAGCAAGGAATATTAAATCATAATTATGTCACGTTTAGACAGTTTATATCACCTTGCGATGAAACCAATCAGAGAATTCAACTTTACATTTCTCCATTTACTCGTCTCGGCCTCCATGTAAACGTTGAGAAGACGGAAGTTTTCTGGCCCATAGAGGACCCAAGTAGTCGTCTCGTAGATGTCTTTCCTCTAGATATTGCTCGTCCTATGCATGGTGTTAAGTTGCTTGGTGGTCATGTTAGTGCAGATTCCTCTTTTTGTGGTGAGCTTGTTTTGCAAAGAGTGTCGAAGACCATTGTGCTAATGGATGTTGTTGCTGAGCTTGATGATCCCCAATGTGAGTTGTTACTAATTCGTGCGTGTACTGGGGTTTCAAAACTCTACTTTGCTATGTGCACTTGTCCCCCTCATCCTTTTGAAGCGGCCCAGCTTTCTTTTGATCTGGCCCTTCGCGCTTCTTTCACTACTAGAAATAGGCCGTTTTCCGACGGATCTTAAAATTCCGTCGGAAAATTACAAATTTCCGACGAAATTTTATCCAACGGAATTTCCCTCGGAAATATTCCGACGGAAATTAATTCTGTCGGAATAAATAACTTCCGACTGAATATTCCCTCGGAATGTTTCCGACGGAAGTTAATTCTGTCAGAATTACAAGCTTCCGATGGAATTTTCCCTCGGAAAATATCTTTCGACGGAAAATTCCGTCAGAAGCAATTACTTCCGACGGAATTAATTTCCATTGGAACATGTTATCATCACATAGGATTCTCAGCCATAGGATTCCGCCTCTTTTTCTTTCCTCTTTCTCTTTCTCTCTCCTTCTCTTAAGAATCTGCTTCTTCTCTCTCCTCTTTTATTTCCTCTTCTTCTCTTTCCTCTTCTCTTTCCTCTTCTCTCTCCTCGTCTCTCACCACCGCCTCTCATTTTCTCTCTCCTCTCCTCTCATCTCATCACAAGCCTATCACCGGCCACAACAACACCGAGCAACACCTACATCCTCCAGCAAATTCGAGCCAAATCCCCTCATTTTCGAGCAAAAAAACGAACCAAAAACCCTAGGAAATATAAGCAAAGAATGAACCAAAAAAATCAAGAAAAAATCCCCCCATATTTGAGCAATGAACCACATAATATTCAATGAAAAAAATTAAGGAATTTCGCAACCCAATTCTCCAGCAAATTCGAGCAAACTGTAGCAAAAATAATTGAAATTCGACATGCACCACTTCGTTTGTCCAGCGTGTGCAGATCTGTTATCGCCTAATTTCATTCAATTTTTTTTTCGTTTTTTTCTATTTGTATTCTGTTTTTCAATTAATTTGCATAGATCAGGTGTTTTTTCAATATTTTTGTTTTGTTCCGATTTATATTCGTTCGTTTGCTCCAATTTGTATAGAATACGATTTTTTTGTTCCGATTTGTATTATAATCTGTATTTGGTTTCAATTTGTATAGATTTGTTTTTTTCAATATTTTTCGTTTTTTTTTTGTTTTTTTTGTTCCGAATCGTATTCGGAAAAATGGATTAGTGGAATGTGGTTACGGTGGGTGATCTTGGCTGGTGGGTTGGGTTAAATGGTGGCTACGGTGGGTGGGTGGGTGGAATGGTGAATACAATGGGTGGTCTGGGTTGGGTGGGGTGGGTGGTTGGGGGTTAGGTGGGTGGTGGTGGTTTGTAGATCTGGCGAGGTGGGTGGTGTGGGAAAAGGGGTTAGATGTGGTGGTGATGGGTGGTGTGGGCTGGTGGGGGGATGGTGCTAGCTGTTTTTTTTGTTTTTTATTGACTTTTTCGACGGAAATTTCCGTCGGAATATACCTCTTCCGACAGAAAATTCTGTCGGAAACCTCTCCAACTCTGACGGAAATTTTCGTCGAAAAATTGCGATGGAATTTCAATTAAAGTAAAAAAAGCGCCGAAAGAAATAAATCCGTCAGAAACTAGCCTTCTGACTGAAATTTCGTCGGAAAAGGTCGAATTTCCTACAAAGGGTTTTGCGACAGACTGATTCCGACAGAATTCTGTCGGAAGACCATTTTTTGACGGAATTTTCAATGTTTCCGACGGATTTTTTCCGTCAGAATCAAGCTGTTTTCTTTTAGTGTTTGGAGCGCATTGTCACTGCTTCGGGGCCTGGTTTTGGTGATTGGAAATGGAAACTTGCCACTTTACCTTTTGCTTATGGTGGATTGGGTGTTTATTCAGCGGGTAATGTTCGGCACTATGCTTTCCTTACATTGCGTTTGCAGTCTACTGGTCTTCAAGCTACGCTTCTTCTCAATTCAGGTATTGTTGGTCGGGGACCGTCCTTCGATGATGCTCTTAGTCTTTTTCAGAGGACTGTGGAAACTGACCTTATGAGTAACCCTAGTGAGATCGCTGCCCCTAAACTTATGAATAAATTGGCAGATATGTATTTCACGAAGGTTACTGCATCTGCAACATCTATTTTCTCCTTATCTTCGCGTCAGGTTGCCTTATGGAAGTCTCAGCAGGGGGATCACTATTCTGCCTGGTTACGGGCGGTCCCAATATCGGGGTTGGGTCAGACTATGAATGGTAAGGCTTACCGTTTTGTTCTTTGCTACCGGTTAGGTGTTCCTTTGTTCTCCGTTTCGACGCCGTGTTCTGCTTGCTCAAGGATTTTTGATGGGGATATTTATGGGGATCATGCAGGATCTTGTGCTGGGATGGTGGGTATTAAATATCGACACAACGTTGTTCATGATACCCTTGTTGATATTTGTTTTTGTTCTGGGATTTCTGCAAGAAAGGAGGTTAATGTTAGGTTGAGTGGAGGGAACGATGGGACTTTTCGACCTACAGATGTGTTGCTTTATTCCTGGGACAGAGGTCTTGATACATGTATTGACTTAGCGGGGTCTTCTCCTTTAACACAGTCTGGGTTGTCGGCTGCAGCTCAGCGGAAGGGGGAGAAGTATGGGGCGCGTTGCAGGGCAATTGGCTATGGTTTTCTTCCTTTTTTCTTTTCTTCGTTGGGGGAATTAGATAAGGATGATATTGCGTTGCTGAAGCGGATTCAGGCGTTCGCTAGGACTCGAAAAGTTAGAAGTTTGCATTTGTAAAGCATATATTCGTAGATTTTTGCAACTCCGTTGAGAAAGGATAATTATTGCATGAGACATATTACAGGGTAGAAATTAAAAGAAAATTAGCCAAAAACATCGGTTATTCCGGGAGTAATGTCTAGTGGCGGCCCCTCAATGATCGTTGACTGATAATGGTACTTGAATATCCCTCCCACCAAAGACATTACATACATTAATATCAAAGCAAAGATTTATGAATATAGAAAAGTTCCACTAACCCCAAAACACCACAAACATTTGGAATTATATATGATGCAATATAATGCGTACCTTTTTTTTTTTTTGTTGGGCCCCCTTACAAACAACTAGTAAAACTTACGCCTAAAGATAACTATT